CTCGTGGTTGAACCTGGACTGGAAATGGGCTCGCTGCTTTGAGGGCATGTATGTCCTCCTAATTACCCTCTGCTGCTTCTGTGAACTTCCTCTTCTCTTCTACCTATTCCTTTTTCCACAGAAATCAATAGAGTTTGTATAATTTAAATCTCACATTCCACACTCCTCTCCTATGCTTCCAGAGTATTTGAATAGAAATGCCACTTGAAAGAACTCCCTACATGCTCCTAGGCAAGCCAGTAGTGACGGTTATCCCAGTCAAGCATGGTTTTATATTCCTACCACATTGTGCTTGTAGTCCCTCTCCATGGTTTCCAGTCAGCAAAGGAGGATCCCTTATTGGCTACTAAAATCCTCGTTGTATGACTATCCTGATCCATGTCCATGAACAGGTGAATTTTCATTGTGTCCAACCACAGACAAAATGCCTTCCACCATGTATTAAACCTCTTACCTGTCATGTATTGCCAAAACGAGAGTATTGGTGATGCTGACAGTAGAGCTAGGTCACTCTCTTAGTGTAAGTTCATTACTTGCTGCTTGTATTTAACGAGTTTTTAGATTAAAAAATTTCCACATGGATGCCCAGAAAGGAGACATATTCTTATTCAGTACATTACAAATTAATTCATAGGGCAGCACAGCTTAATGCTGTTCCCAAGCAAGTGTTCCCAGAAGTCCTAGTGCTTCACATGAGCTAATGCGCAGTACTAACATGTGCACAGTCATAAAAGAGTAATGAGCTTGCAGAATTAACTGAAGCTAATTCAGCACTGAAGTAATATTACCAAAGGAGGAAAGCTCAGTGTGTGATGGCAAAAAAACCCCCATTTCCTCCAAGAAGGAGCGGACTGGCCACAATAATGATAAGCGGGACTGCCATTACAGCAAGTTCGGATCCCCAGTAGTCAAATGTATTTACTGTGAAATTCATTAATCCATTAAAGGAAATTGTGAGTACTCTGCACTTCTTAGTCCGTTATGGATTACATACTGTACTTTACTGGGGGAAAAAAAGTCAATCATTTAGAAGGTAAAATTATGATGGGAATTAATAAAATCAAGAAAGCCCTCACTCAGAGAGTTCATCTCAAGTATATTACTTACATGTTACATCATTATTATTGCTACATGAATTGTTACAATTGTGTGAATATTTTTACATTTAAGAGCTTAACTCTCTTGAAGTGCCATTTGTTGTGATTTTTATGTTCATCTCTTTAGTTCTTCATCTACATAGATAAACTTGAAAAAACATAAAGAAATCTGAGCAGGAAAAAAGATCACCGAACTAACAACAAAACCTTATACTTAAAATAAGTTTTCATTATTTTCTACTTGTTGCCTGTTTGAAGAATGTTTGGTTATCCAGACAGAGATAAGCCTCAGAAAAGAGAAATAACACCATGTGACTGAGGCTGAAAACCACAGAAGTAATTCATTATAAACAGACAAAGCAAATAGTAACCACAGTTCATTAGTCATGTGTTCAAATTACTGAGCTAGTTACAATGGATGTTTGCTAAAAGATCATGATTAGTTC